TTTTTTTTTCTTCTAAACTCGTAGAAAACAACCTCTGCAGGCTTATAGAAAAGGCTTGGAAGCTGAAGTTGTCCGTTTGACTGAAGAGAATTCAAGATTAAGAAGCCAGTTGGAAGAGGTGAGCTAATTACTTGTTTTCATTTCAGTAGTGTAACTGTAGCATCATCTTGTTCGTCAGCTTTAGAATATTTTGTACAACATATTTTATAGGCAAACGAATATCATCTCACAATTACTTCTTATATTAGGTATCAACTTAAAAATTAAATAAATTTATAACTTATAAATTTAAAATGTATATATTAAAATAATTTGTCTAGTATAAGATGAGTTCAGCATATTAAGACGATTCAATTAAGTATTAATTTATTGACTATTATACTTGTATTCTTTTAGATTTGTGATCGAACTATCTCTTAGATTTATAATCGACTCTTTTTCTAGGTTTATAATCGACCTACTTCATTGACCCATCGTCTATAAATACAAAGCTAAACATCTTAATAATTATTAACTTACAATGAATATATCTATGGATTTGGCCCTTGAATCTATTAGATGATGTTTACTGTATCTTGATAAGTTAAAGATGAATTGATCCCTTTAGATAAAGGAGAACTGACTGCTTTGTTCCACCTTTAATGATGATTTACTTAAAATATCAAACAAAAAATAAAAATTATTATTTGATAAGATAAGTATATCGAGATATGTGGGATCTAGAGATTATGGACATAATCGTAAAATAATGAGATCATGATGAAGAAAGATGTCAAAAGATCAAGAAAAAAGTCAAGTAATTAGATTAAAAAGAAAGAGACATCTAAAAAAATTAGACATTCACTTTAGAAAGAAGAAAAGTATATATATATATACATATATTTTTAAGAAACAAATCTATTTAAACTTACTTTATTTAATAATTTATGTTTTATATCAAATTTTAATTATTCAACCATTAAATTTAAAGTTTTTAATGTATAGATCAAGTTTGTAAATTTTTAAAAAATTTAAAAATTATTTGATATTTCATTTTATTAATTCAAATTGATAGGTTATCGTAAAATTATTTTATACGCTAATTTAAATTAATGAAAAAAGTATCTAATAATTTTAAAATTTTTAAAAAATTAAAAATCTTATTTATATATTAACAACTTTAAATTCAATAGTTAGATTGTTAAAATTTAATGTAAAACATAAGTTATTGAAAGAATAAATATAAATAAAATTATTTATGAAATAAAAGAATATCTGTTCGTGTATGTATTTATATAACATTTGAGTGCTCTTTATGATTGGGGCCGGAAGAATACCGAAAATAATTAAATAAGGGTTTTGGATTTTAATGAATTCCGAATTATATAAAATTGGTTTTTTGATTAATTACAGTTGCAGCGCTGCATGTGGTCCTTTGATGAGGCTCCGAGGAAGAAGGCTCCATGTAGAACCTCATCATCTCCATTTTGATTTTGAGAAGAACATTTGATTTGAGTATCCTCCTAGTTAAATAGCCTCTAATAATTCACTTTTCCCCACTTTTTATTCGCCAAGTGTCTCTACCAGATCGATTACATGTCCTTGTTGTTGTTGTTGCTGCTGTTAGACTTGCCATTTTTCTTACTCTAGATCTTACTTTAATATTTATATAGAAGTTTATCCAATTAGACTTTAAGTGTATTTTTGGATGTTAAAAACGGAAAAAGTCAAATTCATCATGATATTTTGAAAGCAACACAAAAATAAAATCACATTGAGTGAATCACACAGATATGAGATAACTATTTGTTGATTCCAAAACCTTAATAATTTCAACTCACCACGATCTTAAGATTCTTAACAACCACCAACCATATATAGATACAGTGTATTAATGTGTAAAGGAAAATGCTATTCTTTACGAATTCGTATATATCCCACAACAACGGCCCTTGATTTTTGTCAAAGGTTTTTTATTTTTTTATTTATTCAAAATTCAGCCAATAATATTTACTCATGTGTAATCGTTTGATCTTTCGTGCAAAAAATATTCGCATTATATACCACTACTGAAGTATATAAATTGGCATTGGAAAATGCTAATACGTACAAAACGATGCTTTCGTAGATACGCACGAAGCTTGTGTGATTTCGTCAAATTGAATTTTTCACCTTTTTAATTTTTAGATAAAATGTATTTAACAAAAGGTTATTGATCCACATATGAATTCGTGCATTTCGTACTTTATTCTTATACCGTATGGTGGCTGACTAGGTCGAATACCCGAGTTCGTGGCCGACTAGGATGAATACCCGAGTTCGTGGCCGACTAGGCCGAATACCCGAGTTCGTGGCCGATTAGGCCGAATACCCGAGTTCGTGGCCGACTAGACCGAATACCCGAGTCCGTGGATGACCAGGTCGAATACCTGAGCCCACCGACCACTCACAATCTGAACGGAACGTGTCGGTAAGAAAGTATGGTGGACATACAATTAGTGGTCAAACAAAGCCATATGAATATTCTTATGCACTATATTTTTTATCCATATGCCACGTGATATATTGCATGTGATAATGTTTGATATGAGGTTGAACCATGAACTCTTAATAGATACATAACCCTTTACATGGGTGGTGCTCTAGAGACACACTTATGTTTCTACCTACATTAGTGTGAACTTAAACTTACTAGATACACACCTTTAGTATGAACTCTTGATAGATACACACTTTATGTTTCTTATGAGGAGGAATCCGTTTACTAGATACACACATTTAGTATGAACTCTTACTAGATATACACCTTTATGATTATCCGATAATTTGAATTAATGAAATGAAGTATCAAATAGTTTTTAATTTTTTTAAAAATTTACAGATTTGATTTATACATTAAAAATTTTAAATTCAACGACTGGATCATTGAAATTTAATGTAAAAAATTAGTTATTGAATGAAATAAGTCTAGGTAGACTAACTCATAAAGTAAACGGATCTCTCCTCATAAATAAATAAATAGTTAAAAATAATTACATAATAATAAGAATCAAAAACAATAATTCTAAATTCTAAAAAATAAAGAGATTTTTTTTTATGAAAACTAAAATTAAAATATGGTCATTTTGTATATATTTAAGTGAGGACATTGTTTATTTTAAAATATTTTCTAAATATTTAGGATAAATAGAGTAAGTTAAAAAAAATGAAGATTTGGGATAACAAAAATAATAACCAAACATTTTAATGTATTTTATATTTTGATGATGTATAATAAAATAGTTTTTTTTATTAATAACTAAGATTATTATTATTTTCTTTAAACAAGTTGCTGATTTAATAAAACATATGCTATCACTTAGCGTGTAGAATCCAATGTTACTATCACAAATTCAATTGCTATCATCATAAATGTAGATCATACAGTCAGTTTAGCCCGTGGTTCTTAAATGTATTCCCATCAGATTTTTATTTCCTTAAGAAACAAATATTATATTATTATGTTGTTCTGTCATCTTATTTAATTGATTAAAAATTTTAAGACGGCCCTTAATTTTTAAAGATAAACTAGGGTTAACTTAGTAGTTGGGAAGAGAGAAGTCGGAATAATTAGAAGCATGTAGGTCCAATGCTTATTACGGCCATCTTTATAATATTTCGTATTTTACCAAAAAGACTTTCTACACATAACATAATAAAAATAACATGTATTATTATGTGCGAGGAAATTTAACATGATTAATCTCAATTAAATAAAAATGATTATAATACATTTATTTTAAAAATTAAGAATTCAATTAAAAACTTCAATAATTAAAGGAACAAAATAAAATAAAGAAAGAAAAAGATAATTTAAGCCAAAAATGAAAGAACCTATTCTATTACTCTGCAATCACATTATTATATTTAATAATACAAGTGCAAGTGTCGTCATAGTCATAAAGAAAGAAACTCGAAACTCTGTTACTGTTACTAGCATTTATTTCCCCTGTAGCGTAGGAGTATCATATGAACCGGAATGAAAATAAACACAGGTGGTGGCGGTGCAGACGAATGAAGCGCCACCAAAGTATAAATATCAAATAGTCGTCTCCTATTTGTACTCTCACTTCTCTCAGTTTCGAAATCCAAAACCCTCTTCTTCTCCGCCGAATGGGACACAGTTCCAAGAAGAAGAAGCGCGGAGGCGGGAGCAGTCGCCGGAGCAAGGGAAGAACGCAGTCCAAAGATCACGCTTCTCAATTCGCCGACGACGATTACGACCAGCTTTCCGAAGAGATTACCGCATTGTAAGCACCTTCCTCAGCTCCAACGCCACATCAAATCGCGTGACCTAACATTTCGGGGCCGACCATGCTTAGGTCGAACACGCTCAAGCCGAGCACTCTTGCCGATTAAATACACTGCGTATCAAATTGCGTGATCCGACTCCGAGGCCGAGCACGCTTCGGCCGAACACGCTCAAGCCGAGCACAATCGCAAATCAAATACATCGCGTATCAAATCGCATGATCCGACTCCGAAGCCGAGCACGCTTCGGCCGAACACTCTCAAGCCGAGTACTCTCACGTGCTCGAACACACTTTGCGCATCAAATCGCGTGACCTAACATTTCGGGGCCGACCACGCTTAGGCCGAACACGCTCAAGCCGAGCACTCTTGCGGATTAAATACACTGCGTATCAAATTGCGTGATCCGACTCCGAGGCCGAGCACGCTTCGGCCGAACACGCTCAAGCCGAGCACAATCGCAAATCAAATACATCGCGTATCAAATCGCATGATCCGACTCCGAAGCCGAGCACGCTTCGGCCGAACACTCTCAAGCCGAGCACTCGCACGTACTCTAGCATTTCGAGGCCGAGCACGCCTAGGCGGAGCACTCCTGAGCCGAACTCACACCAAGCATTAATCCGCGACAAACATGAATTTAACCCCCCTTCGGCCGAGCATACCATTCGGTTGTGTTTATATTACTAGGCGTTAATGAATATGACAAAAAATTGGAAAGTAAAATATTCCATTAAAGTATGGCCAATCAGTACGACTACTTACACAAAAAATCATCTTTGTCCACGACGCCAATGGCCGATCACAAAAGGCACTAATGGCCTGATTACAAGCAAGCGAAAAATCCTAACCCTAACCTACTACCACGAGAGTCAACCTCTTACACCGCGGCCGAGTCCTCCGGATTCCCATCGCCGACCACATCAATGATCGACTCCTCCTCCCTTGCCGGTGGGGCCTCTTCGTCAGGCTGGGCACCCTGAGGGAACTCGGCGTAACTTATGAACTTTCCACCGTAGAAATCCCGACTAACATCAAAATTGAAGTCAGCCGGGACCTCACAAAAGTAGAAGGCCTGTCGCATAGCATGTTGGAAGCCGGCATCGTGCTGGTCGAGAATTTTCTCGGTGGCCTCGGCTTCGAACTTGGTAGCGGCCTCATTTAGCCGAGCAATCTCGGCAGCTGCAGCGGTGGCCTCGACTTTCATTTTCTGGACCGTCAACTTCAAGTCGTCGGCCTCTCTCCTATGGGCGTTGGCTGCCCTCTTCAGTTCTTCGGCCGACTCCGTGACCTTTGCATTGGTGGTCAATGCCTCCTTCAACGTCACCTCAGCCTCCTTAAGCCGCCCCTGCAACCTCTCCTCGGAGACAACCGACCTCATCATAACATGCTTAGCAATTAGGGAGGACGTTTGGCACAAGGAAATTCGAACCGGCCACGACCACCGAGGTTAGCAAAACCGACTACACTAGGAACATGCACACTACTACTAGCGGTCGGAAGCAACATCTGCCATTCCACGCCGAGAACCACAACCCTATACAATTAAAACGTCTTCGTCTTTCCCATCCTCGACGCTGCGGGGGTTGTATACCGTATGGTGGCTGACTAGGCCGAATACCCGAGTTCGTGGCCGACTAGGCCGAATACCCGAGTCCGTGGATGACCAGGTCGAATACCCGAGCCCACCGACCACTCACAATCTGAACGGAACGTGTCGGTGTGCTCGGCCAAGTCACGGATTTACGCCAGGATAATTATGGAGAGGTTAATTTATGTAATGCACCGGATTAGCCCCCTAATTTCCCGGGGCCCAGTCCTTAATCGCGGCCCAATAAGAATCACTATGAATAGGACCCCAACGAGGTACGTAACTGACTTTCAACTACCGTATTTATTACGCCGAGCACTTACTTGAACGTTGGAGTGTGTTTGCAGGCACCCCCCTCACTTCGGACTGCTCAGAGAGGAACGAGAAGACTGAGACCCAAGATTAGACCCGCTACAACAAGGATAATTGAAGTGTGTATCCTAACACAGGAACAATTCTCATCGTGCCAAATATCACTGCTGATTGGTTATGCATTTTATTGGATTAATCGATTATTATTAGAACAGAAAATTATATTTATACTAATTAACTTCTAATCGCAATGTGTACGAAGTAAATTATGAACTCCCTTTGCTTTTCATTAGATATCTAATCACGGATATAATAAAGTTAGAAATGTATGGTGATTTAATTTTTATTTTATATCTATAACTATAGGGCATTTGACATACATATTTCATTAATCTTTCTTTACCTTCTATTTATTACTATAATAATAAATTTGATTTCTTTTAATATAGGATCAAAATGGTAACTTTAATATTGAAACTCTTAATAATTTTAGACTCGTACAA